TTCATTTGCTGGTGTGTGGTTCGGGAGTAAATCTTCCAGAACCCCATCCACGTACACTCCAAGTATAGTTGTGCTGCAACAAATGGTATGTAAAATGTTCAAGAAGCGTTACATTGGTGTACGTTGCTTGTCAGCTTTGCTTGCCAGGCTCAGCACGTGGCTTTTCATGGTCATTAAAGTGTCACACTTTATCTCCACGATGTCAAATTGCTCATTGTGCACTAATTTTTGCCATCCATCTATAGGTCTGTCTTAATTGCTTCTCCTTGCCTTAATTTTTAATTATCGTCAGTATTTCGCATCTGCAAATGCAACCTGCCAACGCTTTCACCTAGGTAGAAATTGCTGCATTTCTGTGTTTAATTAATTAGCAGTTGGTGTTTTTCCTCTCTTGGTATATATTGGTTAGAGTGCACTCTTCAACATACGCAGTTTAGTGGATAAGGCGCAGCAGAGTATTGAAGAAAACTTTCCACAACACTACTTGTCTGACTCTCAGGTTCTGCTTCATTGAGGTCTATTTTTAAATTTCGTTCTTGCAGTATTTCATTATAAGCATTAGAATGTAGCCAGAGATATCAATCACTTGGAATTTAGAGAATAGTCCAGGTGCCAAAGTCAATCAAAGGCATCTGAAATATGTCCTTGATTCATCCAGTGACTGATACCACTTAGGTGGAAGGTTCAGGAAAAGACCAACAGATTATGGCGAAAAAAATGCAGTCATTTGTTGTGAGATTATTAGCTCAAGAATATTGACAGTAATTGACAGCTATAAGATAAGGTTTGCATAGTTGCTGAACTGAACCCTCTAATGTGAATTGGAATTACATGTGCCTTTTTCCATAGAAAATGTCATATTACTTGCTATGCAGAATTGGTAGGGACGAGTGAGCGGTAATGTCAGCAAATACACACAACTGCATAACAGTTTTGGTCAACCTTATCAGGCCTTATTTCCCTCCCAGTGAATAGAGATTAAAATCGGTGGTGAAGTTCATGTCATTAAATTCAAATGACTGTTTTCTACCGTTTGCTGGTTCCATGGATTTTTTTATCAATGTATCTGCGGCCTCATCTCTGACGAGTCCTACTGATAGGTGGTCTGGTCAATCATGCTGTTAGAGAGACATATGCTTGCAGTGTGACGTATGACTCACTGTGTGGTTATTCAGGTATCATTTGGAGGCGTTTATCAAGTTCTCTCTTATACACCTTGGTAGGTCGACCAGTTATGCATCCCCTATGTTTAGAGGGAGAGTGTTGAGAAGTCTTGGTCCCTTAATGATGACAGAATTGTCTCTTAGCGCACCTTTCATGTTCAACGGGGCTATTTTGCCTTTCCTGGAGTGCATCTTGGTCTCACAAGGAGTTATTTTCGTTTGCATATTTGGAACTAGTTCGTTTAATGTCTACCAAGTATAATTATTATGTATATCTCCAGCCTGTGCTTCACGGAACAAATATTTTAAAATTATATGCTGTCCCAAAAACTCAGATATTGTGGTGAGTTCATTCTGGCAGTAAAAGAACTTCGCACGCTATCCAGGTCAGCCATTTCTTTCAACATTGAATGGGGCTGGTAGTGCTACAATATTCCACTCTAGCAAGCACTAACGTTTTAAAAGATATCACTATTGGTCTGGCAACTGAGTTTGAAAGGTTCTGTTTAGCCAGCCTGTTATTTTTCTTGCAGCTATGGCAGCTACTTTATTGTGCTCTTTCAAAATGAGGTCTTCCGACATGATCACTCCAAAAAAATTATATTGATTTTCATTTCAAGAATGTGATTTTACTGCATTTTATTAGTGGTTTTCGTTTTGATATTCTCGTTTTCCACTAGCGCAGTAGCCGGAACATATCTTCATTAAACATTTTTGTTTAATGAAGATATGAAAAACTGAAAACTGGTCGTGATGGTCAAGTGGATTAAGGCGTCCTGTACATACCAGTTGCGTTGCTCCTGGAAGTATGGGTTCGAGTCACTTCTGGGGTGTGAGTTTTCAGTTGCATATAGTCCTGGGGATCATTCAGGCTTGTTCGCATTTGTGCTCCTCACGTGTGCCCCAAAGAAATGAGGTGATTTGATAAAATGCTGTGCCCAAGATTACCGGCCGGGGGGAAGGGGGTAGTTCAAATATCTTCGGCTATTATCTCCTTATGTACGATCATAATGGTCAAGTGGATTAAGGCGTCCTGTACATAACAGTTGCGTTGCTCCTGGCAGTATGGGTTCGAGTCACATCTGGGGTGTGAGTTTTCAGTTGCATATAGTCCTGGGGACCATTCAGGCTTGTTCGCATATATATATATATATATATATATATATATATATATATATATATATATATATATATATATATATATATATATATATATATATATATATATATATATATATATATATATATATGTCGTACCTAGTAGCCAGAACGCACTTCTTAGCCTACTATGCAAGGTTTTTTTGCCTAATAAGCCAAGTTTTCCTGAATGAATTGTT